CCAGCTCTCCCCCACCCATCGACTTCCCCAGCAGCGCCTGGGCACCCCCTGCCTAGGCTGTCCCGCCTCTTGCAGCCACCACTCCTCCAGCCCTGGGCCTGTGCCCTGCTATCTTCTCTACCCGGAACCCTGGGCTCTGCTCCTTCCAGGCAGGCTCAGCTCTCCTGGAGGGGCACTTCCAGGGGTCCCGCCCGCCGCGTGTACCTCCCCGCACCACTGAGCGCTCTCTGTCGTAATCACAGCTCTAATTAGGCGGTTAATCGTGGGAACTCTGCTCTCTGGGAGGAGATGTTGCCTTGTCCTTGGCGCCCTCTTGCGGCTGTGCGGCTGAAGACGCAACCCCTGAGCCCTGGGCCGGTGAGGAAGAGGCCAGTGAGTGGAGCTGTGTCGGGGTGCCGGGTGAACTCCGTTTCTAGGGACGGCACTGGGCCCCCTGCCCTCTCTCTAGGCTGTGTCCTGCTTGCCCGCAGGGCGCTCACGGCCCTGCCTAAGGGTGCAATCCCAGTGTGTGCCGCTGCCCGGCCCCTCCTGCCTTGTGCTCAGGGCAGCGGGGCTAGAGACCTGGGCCCGCACAGAGTTGGCACCGCCTCAGAAACTGTAGCAGGACTGGAAAGGCACAGATCCGATCACAGGCGCCAGGAAAAGCGGGTTTGCAGGCGTGCACGCTGCCTTTAGTCAAAGGAGGGCATAGCGGCATGGAGATGTCCGGGAGGTGTCAGGTCCTGTTTATAAAAAGCAGATCAGGCAATGTACGAGGGTGGAATCGCCAGGAATCAGGGACGGGGCCTGGCTGGGCGCAGTGTCCTTGGCTCACAGCCATCCGTTTCCCCGGGCAGCTTGGCAGTGGCCCGGGGGCTGCTCCTGGACTGGCTCTTCCCTGCCCGCTCTCCTTGCACTCAGGGTCTGGGTTGCCCCAGGTCTGTCTGTGGGCCTGGTCTATCCTGGCCGCTTCCTGCTGCCACTCATCTGGGGAACTCGGTGTGGTGCTAGGTGTCTGTTGGGCAGGTCAACATCATCCCTTCTTTCGCCCCACGCTGTCCTGTCTGCCGGTGTGGGGGTGGCTGTGGACAATTCCAGAAAATTCCAGGCCAGTCTTTGGCCTTCTGCTCAACTGCCCCCATTCCCCAGCTGGGACGAAGCCTGTGGAGGCTTGGGGAAGGGGCTTCTAGAACCAGGGTACTTCTTGGACCAGCAGCCTAGTGGTGACAGTTTGCTGTCTTTGTGCTGGGCTTGTCTGCACCTGGACCTGCTGTTCTGGAGGACCTGGTGCTTCCATCTCTGTAGCCACCGTGGATGAGGCCCAGGGGCTGGTGGATGCTGGCCTGGGGCACAGTCAGAGGCCTTCTGGGTCTCCACCCCATTTGATGGATGAAGCCCTCCCTGATGGAGCTGGTCCTGTTCCCGTCGGCAGCCTGGGAGCTGGACAGACAGCTGAACGGCTGCCCAGGACACTCGTCTTGGCCCTGGTGGGTTGGACAGTGGAATGAGGGAGTAGCCTTCTCTACTTCATAGCAGCCTCAGGCAGTTCTTTGCACAGAGTAGTAATTCTAGTTTCATCTTATTCATTAACCAATTGTGAAATTAGCAACTCATTTTCCTCCTAGTTATTTCCCTTTGAAGTTCCATAAAAATCTGAACTCTCCCTCAACTCCTGCTCCACATAAAACAGAGCAAGGCCTCGACCTCCGTCTGATCAGATCAGCCATCTGTGTTGGAATTGTCCGAGGAGAGCAAGTTGGGTGGGCAGGGCCAGGCTCTGCAGGCGAAGCAGCTCTGCTGGGGGTGGGACCACACTCCTGGGCCCCCGATGGCCGGGCCCAGCCGCACGGCCTCCCTCCTGACAGTGCGTCGTTGGCATGTGGTGCTTGGTACACAGCAGGGCTCTGGGATGCCCGAGGGCCGCCCCACCTGGCCCCCAGCCTGAGGGCATGGTGCTGTGTGCAAGAGCTGGAACCCTGCTGATGGATGGGCTCATATCCCATTCACGTATGATGCCAGCAGTTTTTTTGTAGTTTGTCTTCCATTGCGGTAGTAAAGTTTTTAATTAGGAAAGCTAATGAGATCGATTAGTCATTAGAAGTGACCTCTGGATGGCGGGCGGAGAGGGCTGCGTGTGTGGGGCTGATAACGCGGGCCAGGGCAGCGCTGGCAATAAAGGCGCAAGGGGCTTGATGTGCGTAGAGCGTGCTGTGGGGATGTATCACGCGGAGAAAAAAATTACAGCCCTGGGAGTCTGTAATGAAGGGAATTAAACCAACATCGTATCTAAATAACACGACTATCTACACAAACCCCAGCCAGCTAGGAGGGATGGGCACCTGGGCCGGTGTCCTCAGGGAGGAGGGCAGAGGCCTGTTTCTGCCTGGGTCCTTGTTGGACACAGGGCAGCATCCTGGAGCCTCCCAAGCCTTGTCACCTGTCCACCCCGTTGCTGCACACCCTGGGGAACAGGGCCAGGGAGGGACCCTTCCTTCCTCCAGCCCTTTCTGGGTCCGTGTGCCAGGCATGGTCTTAGGAGCCCTTGCTCCTGCCAGCTGCTGGAGGCCCGGCTTGGAATTCATCCCCCACTGCCAGTCTGTGTGGCTGTGCCCTGCTGATCCTGCGTCGTAATGAACTTGTCCGAGCTGCCCATTTGGGAATGAAAGGGACTGCCCATGGTCTGCAGGGCAGGCCGTGGGGGGCACGGCCTTGCTGTGGGGGTGGGGTGCAGCCCTGGACCTTCACTGGTTGCCGTCTCCCCACTTTGAGCCTCTTGAAGTGCCCCCACTCTGGTGGGGACTGTGGGAGAGGGTCTATCTAGGGTGACACGTGCAGGACATGCCTGCCCAGCCTGACCGGGCTGTGATGAGAGGCCGGGACCACATTATCACCATGTGGTTTGCAGGAATGGTGCTTGGGCAGTAAGAAGTAACATGTAGTGAGGCAGATCAGCCTGACCTGAGCTGATGGCCGCCTGTCCCACGCAGGAGCGTGATTGTGGTGCCGCTGCCTGCGAGGGGCCTGCCTGCCCAAAGCTGCCCCTCCAGGGCAGGAGTGTTCTAGAATGCAGCGTCCAGTCCCGCGTGCTTGGGTTGGGACTCCCTGGAGGAGGTGGCATGTGCTGGACCTGGGAGGGAGGATGAGCTCTGGTCCCCAAGGTTATAGGTGATTTTAGCCAAAGGGATGCTGTGCATCTGGTGACGGGGATGGAGCTGGCTCAGGTCTGGGGCCTCCTGTGCTCAGAATTTGGGGAAGTGGTTGAGGAGGAGGGGAACACAAAGCCCCAGGGCCCCAGCGTGGCCCAGTGTCCCTCCTGCCTTGCTAGGCACTGCCTGGCTTCTGAGCGGGATTGCGCCCTAGCTTTGTTGTGCCATGGCTCCATGGGGCCAGCATCACCCCAGGCTCTCCATCCTAGAGCGGGAGGCATGGGGCGGCCTGGGAGGCTTGTGAGCAGGCCACGGTGGGAAGCAGGCTGCAGGCTGGCACATGGGTCACCTGGGCACGCTGGGGTTGGGAGTGGGCAGGTGGCAGCCCCGAGCCCCGGCCCCATGGCTGGTGGTGCTCCAGTGGGTGCACTGACTGCCCAGGTGCTGAGGCTGGCTCCCAGCTTGGCCCACGTGGGGCAGGAGCATCCCGGGCAGCCCATGCCCTCCTCAGGCAGAAAGCAGGGAGCCCACAGCAGGGCTGGAAGCTGACGCATCACCTCGGGGTTATTGATAACTTAAGGACCTCTATGTTTTCTGGCTCTTAGTTGGAACAAGCTATTATTGATTTTTTGGTTGGTCTCTCTTTGCTTGTAAGACCTTGAAAATTCAATTGGCAGACTCTCTCCTGTGGGCTTGGGGGTGCTCTTGGGAAGGCTTTGATGCCATGTTGGGTCCGAATGTTCCTGACTTGCTCCCTTGCAGGCTGACAGGTGCCTGGGTGGAGGCTGCGGCTTGGACGGTGCTGGGGCACACCTGCAGGAGGGGATCTTTGTCGATAGCTGGACAGGCCAGTGCAGGCAGGACGGTGCGAGAGCCTGTGGGGAGATGGGCAGAAGCGGGGCTCAGGGAGCGGCCCTGGCTGCCTGAGGTCCGGTGGGTGTAGGGCTCCGGAAGAGATTTTGGGAACCCATAACAGTTTCCGGTCCTGTCTAAGGAGCAGTGTGCCTCAAGGGCTATTTGGCTGTGGGACCAAGAAGATGTGAGGGAGGGGCTCTGCTGACATCTGGACATCTCCTGCAGGATCTCCTGGGCCTTGGGCTGCGAGGGGAGCTGTTAAGAGGGCGGGCCTGCGCCCACTGCTGTGTTGGCTTTAATTATCTGGGCAGTCAGAGCTGTACATGATGAAAGTTGGGCAATTAGACAACCATCCTTGAAGCTATGGATAAATTGCCGGCTATCAAGTGGAAGGGAACTCGGGCAAAACAGATTCCTGTTAATTGCATGAAACGTTCAGCAGGAAAAAGCCATTGTGTCTATCACCCTGCAGAATGTTATGAAAACAGTGATTAAGTACATAAATCTGTCTGGGCACGGCAGCAAGGAGGTGCTCCTTGAGGAGGTGAGTGCTCCAGCGCCCCTCTCACGTACAGGGCACAGGCCAGGAGCCTACCTTGCTGTCTTGGGTGGAGGTGGCCCATCTGCCTTCCTCAGTGCTCTGCTGGGAGTCAGTCATTCACCTCGAGTCCCCCTGGGGTGGATACTGTCTAGGGGCCTCCAAGGTGTCCCTGGCTGCCAGGCCCCTGGCTTCTCCTGGTTCTCCCGTGGGTGGTCCCTTGCTTCTCCTGATGGCTAGAGGGTGTGCGGGGCCAGTGCCCACCTTTCCTGGAGGCTGCACTGGTCAGCTTCTGAAGCATTGGCTGCCAGGCACCCTAGGGATATGTGTGCCATGTCGGGTGGGGGTTCCATCTAGGGGGCGACAGAGAGTCTTCAAGCCCCAGAGGAGGCAGCAGGCAGGGCTGGCACCGTGGGCGTCCTCTCTGACCTTGCCCTTGCCGACCTTCCCTGATCTGTGTGTGCCCTGGGTTTTCTCTGCAGCATCCAGCCTGCATGCCCTGCGGACCCCACCCACGAGCAAGGTGATCAAGACCCGCTACCGCATCGTCAAGAAGACCCCGGCCTCATCTCTTGGCGCCCCGCCCTTCCCCCTGTCTCTGCCCTCCTGGCGGGCCCGGCGGCTCTCACTGTCCAGGTAGGAAAGCCTCCTCCATGCTCCTGCAGGCCTGGGGACTGGGCTGTCTGGACCCTGCCCTGAGGGCCAGGGGAGCTGAGCGCATTCCAGAACTGCTTGGTATTTGGCTCTTGGCTGGGGACCAGCTTGATTTTTCTGTTTCTTTAGCAATATCTGTAGGCAGTAGGAGGCCAGCCTGAGTATACCACACATACATACATGAGGACGGACGGACACACGCGCACACACAGGCCCTGCTGTTCTCAGCGAGTCTGTTAGCTGGTGGGGGCTCTGTGCCATGGAAGCATCGCCGCCCAGATGGTGAGCTCCCATGCCATGTGCTGTCTGAGCATCTCTCAGGGAGAAGCTTCTAGTGGGAGAGGCTGGGCCTTGAGCGGCCTGGCTGGAAGCTGTCAATGTATGATTGTCCTCCTTGTCCTGCCCGCCTACGGTCTGGCCCCCACCGGCACTCTGACCTCCAAGCACACTGGGAACGCGGCTCCATCTGTGGGAAATAGCTCTTGCCTTCCTGGAGTCCCCACTCTGGGAAGCTGTGCTACTCACTGAGTTGAGTTTGCTCAGCCTCTGGGCCTCAGGAGGCCTGGCCCTGGGGGTTGGTCCTTCCTTTGCTTGGTGGGGGTGTCCATCTCCATGCTTGGGAGAGGGTAAGAGCCCTGGCAGCGGATGTGAAGCAGGCAGTGGCATGTGTCCCTCTGTCCTCTGACGCTCCCTGTGGGAACCTGCTCCTGGAGGAGTGGCATGGGCCAGAGGCAGTTGACAGGGCCACGGGGCAAGCAGCCACAGTGCAGGGCACAGCCCCCGACCCTACCGTGGCCGTCTGGTGAGTCCCTGCTAGAGGTTCCCAGGCCTGAGGCTAACCCCAGGGGATCCACCCACTGGTGTGGACAGCCCTGCGTGGCTCTAGGGCCTGTGGCAGGTCAGGCAGCTGGCGAGCCCACTGGGCAGTGCCCTGCTGCCTCCTGGATCGCCAGGCCGCACTCAGCATGGCCCTGCCACCGACTTTTCTGGAGGCAATAGCTGGAGTATATTTTAAATTAATTTTACTGCACTTTTTGTAATATTTTTGTTTTAAATAGATTTATAAGCATCTCGGGGGCTATTTCTACAAATTTATGAAGATAATTTTTATTCTCTCGATAAGGTTAAATTTACACCTGCTATTTCCATATTAATTCACAGTGCTAAGTGGATCTAATTTTCTTCCGTTCTTCTATCTGGTGAGCATGGCCTTTCCTAATGCAATTTCCCCCTCAGTAAATCACTGTGATCAGGAGTCATGATCGAGCTAAATTAACTTAAATTAATTTACTTAATAAGAGCCCCCGATCATCGGGAATGAGGTTCAGATTTATGGATTCTCCACTCCTGTCCTCCTCCAGTGGTCGTTGTCAGACCGGCGTCGAGGGTCCACCTCTCCCAGGGGCACAGCTGGGGGCCGAGTGTTGATGTTCCTCAGGGCAGACCCAGCAGAGCCCTTCCCTCTGGATTGTTAGGCCAGGAAGGCCTTGGGTTTGGGTCTGACTGGGCCCTGATGGTGTCGTCGTACACCCTGGCTCTGGGGCCGGGGAGGCTGGGAGGAGGAGGAGTCGGCAGCCAGCCCAGTGCCCAGGGCCTCCTGTTGGCGCCATGCGGCTGAGAGCTGCGGGTCAGCTGAGAGGCTCCCTCCAAGCTCCCTGTCCCTCCAACATGCAGCCTGGCCAGCTGCCCTGCAGGGAGTGGCCATGGCTCTCTGGGTGCCTGGGTGTAGGGGCTGGACCACAGGCATGGGTGCGCAGGAGGTGGAGCAGGCACCGTCTTTGATGGCTCAAGGTCCCAGCACCAGGATCCCGAATTCAGCCCACCCTTGGAGACCCTGGCTGTGGTTGGTGGCCATGGGCTCCAGGCCTCAGTGTCCTCCCTGTGTGTGAAGGCCAGGCTGAGCCCACCCCAGGATGCACACATGGCTAAGGGGGTGTGTGAGGGGCCCCTCCTCACTGTCCTGCCCACCTCTGCCCAGTCCTGTTCCACCCCTTGCCAGGCATCTGGGACTCTTCGGGGCATGAGCCCTGGGCTTGTGGATGGGGTGTAGGGGTGGGCAGGGAGGGTGCGGAGCTAAGGGTCATGGCTCTCAGGAGGCCCTGGGAAGAGTGGCTGCCAGCGGGCTGGGCCTTTGTCACTCAGGTTTACCTGCGTCCCAGCATGGCTGCTGGGCCTGCTGTCGGCTCAGGGTTGTTGAGACAGGAAGGGCCTGTCTGGCCAGCGGCTGATGTGGCCTGGCCCATGTACCGTCTCCCTTGCTCCATCCGAGCCAGGCTGCCTGCATGTGGCTGGACACTCAGCCCTCCCTGGGCAGGCCCCGGCCACCCTTCACTAAGAGCTGCCATGGAGAGGAGAAGGCAGGCTGTCCTGCCAGGCGGCTGGCTGGAGCCTGAGACCAGGGCTATCTTTGGGCCCCAGCTCCCTCCCCCATCCCTTGGAGGGGCTGGCGGACAGGCCTCAGCAGTCCTGGAAGCCACGGTGGTCAGAGTTGGCAGGGGCTGGTGGACACACGGGAGGGGAGGGGGGAGGGGAGGGAGGCGGGCAGGGTGACCAGTGGCTGAGGGTCAGTGCTGGTGTGGGACACCCCCTGCCCACCCCTCACTGTGATGGAGATCTGGTCATCCCGAGAGGAAGTCGTGTGTGGGTGTGGGGCCTGCTGCCCCTAGAGGCCCTGGAAGGCCTCTTCCCCTCACAGGCTCAGCGTTTCGCTCTGTCCTTGAAGCAGACGCACGGGTTCTGAGCATGGAGCCGGGCCTGCTCTCTGTGAAGCCCCAGTTCCCGGGAGATGGACGCCGCCGACAGCACTGCTCTGGGAGCAGAGGGAGCCGCTGGCAGAGGCCCTGCGAGGGGACGACACTGGGGAGCACAGCGAGGCCCAGGGGGCTCTGAGTGTTGAGGGAAGGCCTTGGGGGTCTGGGCAGGGGTCCCGGAGGTCCGAGGGCTGCTGTGGGGAGCGGCTGAGCATCCTGAGCAGGGTGTGGCCTGGGGCAGCGAGGTGCGAACCTGACGGCCTGTCCCTGCCTGCCTGTGCCATGGGGAATGGGTTAGGGTCTCTAGGCTCGATTCTGGTGGGGGCTCAAGACAGGGCTTGCCTCTCAAAGGGCTGGAACCCCAAAGACGGAGGAGGGGGCAGGACCCCCACCACCCCTGTCCTGAGAGGGATGGGACGGGGCCCTGCTCAGGGGGGACAAGAAACTGTAACACAGGCTCCCGCAGTGAGGCTTGCATGGCTCTGCTGCTGACAACAGCCCTCACCTTGTCCTTTCTCTGCCCCTGTCCCTGGAACTTCCCCTCCCCTCCCTTCCCCTTCCTTCCCTTTCCCTCCCCCTCCCCTGCCCCTCTCCTCTCCCTTTCCTTCCCCCTAGCTGTTATGCTCATGGTGGGGACTGCACCACCCTGAGGGAGGGGGTCTCTCTCCTGGCCATTAGCCCCCAGGACCCCTCTGCAGCTACCCTTGGCTTTCTGTCAGAGAGCCCCAGGTCCTGAGTGGTTGGTCCTAGCTCTGCCCTGGGCAGTGGGGAGGGTGCAGGGTGATTAGGTCTGTTCCCTCCTCTGGGCAGCTCTAGAAACTGCCCTTCCCTGCAGCCCAAGGGAGGAAGGGTGGGTAAGTGGGTGCCCGGCCTGAGCCCAGGCTTCTGCCCTGTCCCAGGGGGTGATTTGGTACGCACCCTCACTCTCCCCCTCCTGATTTAAGTAGAAACTTGCTGTCGACCCAGTGGTTACGTTGAGCCCATGTGGGAGGCTGGAGGGCAGCCTCAGGGTCCCTTGACAGCCAGGTTTGTAGTAGAGGCCGGGGCCTCTTCTCCCTGTCAGCAGCTTCTCTGGGCCTGGCCATGGAGGAGCTGGTGGGAGAGCCAGCTGGATGCCGGCCCATGGCTTCATGTTCGTGGCTGGCCAGTACCCATCCTTGTGAGGTGGAAGGCAGAGGCTGCTGGGCAGCTGTTCCTGGGGCTTCTGCGTGCTGCCAACCAGGGTCTCTGAGGATGGCACACCATTGAAGCATGCACCAGACAGTGCGTGGAGATGGGGGCGGGGCAGAAGGGGGAGGAGAGAAGGAGCAGTGCATGTGTGCCACCGGCAGGGCGGGACTCCTGCCCCAAGGGGCAGCATCCACGGTGCCATCTCTGCTGCCCGTCACGGGCCATGTTGCCTGTCGCCCTGGCCTGCAGATGCCTGGCCATGTGGCTGGGTGGGGCGGGGCAACAGCTGACAGGTGCTTGCTGGTGGTGTCCTGGCCATGTACCACCTCTCCCCGGAGGCCCGAGGCGTGGGACCGGGCTGTTCTGCCGAGCCTGGTGCCCATCGCATCTGCCACACACATGGGAGAGGCCATTGCTCTGGCCCAGGGCCCTGGAGGCTTCCTGCACCGCTCGCTGCCTCACGTGCGCCTCGGCCCTGCTGGGTGGTCCCTGAGAGCCAGCCCTGGCCAGCCCTCCCCGGTGCCACAGGACTGCCGCCTTCACCTGGGGCCTGTCCCAGGGGCACCATGCCCAGAGCCAGCCCAGGGACTCAGAGGGTGTCCGTGCAAGCCTGGGGTGCAGGGGCACAAGGTGGAAGGTCAGCGGAGGGTTTCAGAGGAGCCACCGTGAGGGCTGAGGCTCTGCCGAGGGGATTTAATTTTTTTGTTGTTCTGAGGTTTGTGGATTTGCCAGTGCCCTCACCGGCTTCAGCAAGTTCATTAATCTGAACCGAAGCTGAAATGTGACTTATATCCCTAACTGCCTGTCACTTTTTTTCTCCTTCCAAATTCATTTGACATGAAAGTGCGAAATAAACAGAAGCTGCTGCGCTTAAGCAGATGAATCGGAGGCTTCTCCACCCGACTACAAATGGTCCTGTCACAGGGCCGCCGCTCGCTGGGCCTGCCGTACTTTATTTTATTTCATTTTATTTTGCGTCTGTGCGGTAAATCTTAAGTAATCTGTGCAGTTTTGACGAGGGTTAGGCCAGGATTTTGAAGGGCTCTGAAACGCTTCTCCAAA